ACTTCTGTGTGCACATAAAAAAAAAGAGGAAAGTGCAGTGTGTGTGCCTTTCCATCACAGCGAGGAATGGATTTTCCTTTGCTACGATCATATTCATTTTATGCTACCTTAGAAGAAAAAAAACCTCTGTGCAGCTCCTCTAGAACAATCGGAGTCTGAAAGCTTGGAGAGAAAATGTGGTGTGTGGATGAGTCCAACTCAACTTCAGCAGGTAAAAATGGATAAAGGAATAAATAATCCAACTAATTGCAGAACCATACTACCTTCTGGTGTCCTTACAGATACCAGCAGCACTGTAGATACTGATGTCTTACTCTTCCCTTGTTTCATCCAGTGCCAGATGCTCTGTTCTCCCTTAACTTTGGGGTCAGAGCATTTACTCATGAAGTTCAACTCAGGCGGGCATCCTGTCCCATCTTGTTGGTGTTTTCTCCATTTTGCACATGAAAGCCACTGAATCAACCAACAGTTTTATATGTTTTATAGACTGTGTTTATTTGATTTATCCAGCTGTGATATCTGTACACTGTAGCCTTGTAGGTCCAGGAGGGACAGACTAGTAAACAATCACAGCTTCTGCAATAATGCACCAATGCAGGCTACAAGATTTGCAATATGAGAAATAGCTATAACTGTTATAAATATGACAATGATTTTCTAGAGCTCATGTGACTTTTACCTGGTGGAATTTAAATAGCTAAGTTGTAAGCAAATGGGAAAAGCATAAGAAAACCAATTAATACTGTATTTTCTTTGAGGTTGAGGGATGACTGTGTAGTTTTAAATGTACCAATACTGAACATACATGTGAGACCCTGAGAGATATGAAAAGCTGACATAACCCCAGAGAAAAAAGACAGACTCTAGGAATTCTTTGTATATCACTTCTAAGTTTTTGTTTATTTTTTTTTCTTGTAGCAATTGGATAACCATGGTTATAACTGCTTATATTATTGTGATTATGCCAATATTTGTATTTTCAATGAACTATTAAAATCTGTACCAAACCACCAGAGAATTCCTGGCTCCATGTAGAAGGTGTGTTCCCCTTGTTTGCCTTTGATGAAGAAGGCAATTAAATTTAATAAGAGTTTACAGAAATCTTGCAAAGGTTGTGTTCAAAGCTATCTATATAGTAAAGTAACTGAAATTATCATTTTTTTTTTTAGCCCAAGAATGGTGCATAGGATCAAATCATCCTGAAATAATAACAACTTTCAAGGAATTTGTTTGAAAGTGAGTTATGGAGTTAATGACATACATCACCAAGTCCTCACCTTGCCTGTTGTGCCTTGTTGTGCCTTGTTGTGCCTTGTTGTGGACACACACAAGGACATGTTCAGCTTCCCCATCAACAATTCACATCAAAACACTTTTCACCTGTTTGCTTTCACTTCTCTTTTCTGCAACTCTGGCAATATGAGGCACTAATGGAGTGCATGAAGAAGTTAAAGTTCTACACTACAGTTGCAAAAATAACTTTAGATATTAATTTGTTATTAATTAAAATACTTTGCATAGAGAAAGTTGTGTGAATAGTATATGATGCCTGAACATCATGTTCTAATTCATACGCATTTGTGTTTGACATCAGTCATTGTAGAGACTATATCCCTTAGACAATGTACCTGAGTAAAGTATGAACTCTACAAACATCATAAGTTTGGGAAGGTGATGAAAGGCACAGGACATAGTCATACTTTTGTTCACAACTACATTTTGGTGAGACCGTCTGGTGTGTCTGAGATAAGGCACCAACACAACTTTGCCAAGAGTTAACAAAGAACCAATTCTTAGGACTTGTGTAAATTCTGCATCAATGATTACAACTTTCTTCTGTTTCTTTTAAGGGCTATACAGTTCATTTGTCTTTTCAGTTGTAAACATTTGTTGAGTGGCTTTTTCAGTCAGGTTTTGATGACTGACATCTTTCTTCTAAGTTCAGGTGCCATCTTATTCAACAGCTGTTCTTTTGTAATAGATAATATAGAGAAACGACTATGTAGGCAAATAGTATCATCTAAATATTTGATTTTCTCTTCCACTTGAGGAAGTTACCTGTTTAACAAATAGCTCATTTAAAAGAAAAACAGAAGAAAAAAAAAAACAAAAAAACTTGTAGAAGTTACTTCAATTGTTTCAAATAATTCTTATTTCAAATGTATGATCTGTGATTTTTTCAACAGTTGGCTTAAATTCCTAAAGTACTAATACATCTTAGTGTGTTCCTCTGTTTGAAACACTTTCGCACTACTTCTGCTACTGAATTTATTTCATATGTATTCACCCCACCTACATTCCCTTTAAAGAAATACACATTTACCCAAAAGCTCATCAATGCTTTCTTTTTGAGCAGCTGGCTCTCTTACTGAGGTTTGACTGAGGTATCTCTCTGCTACCTTAGGCTCTTGAGAATAGAACAGGATCAGATAGGGTACTCAAAGAACACACGATCAGATAGGGTACTCTTTGTCACATTGCATTCTTATCTCTAAATAAGAAAGAGGTGGATTTGAAGGGTGGACTATTCATTGGATGAGGAATAAATTAGATGGTTGCAGCCAAAGTGTTGTAGTCAACAACTCTATGTTTATGTGGGGGTTCATCCTGGGACCAGTGCTCTTTATAGTCTTTATCAATGACCTATACAGTGGGATGTAGGGCTCCCTCAACAAGTTTGCTGATGACACCGATTTAAATGGGGTAGCTAATACATTAAAAGGAAGGGGCAGCATCCAGAGGGACCAGAACAAGCTTGAAAAGTGGGCACAAGATAAAATAATGAGGTTTAACGGGACCAAGTGCAGACCAAGTGCAGGATGTTTTTACAGTGAGAGTGGTGAGGCACAGGAAAAAGTTGCCTAGAGATGTTGTTGCTCCATCCCTGGAGACTTTCAAGGCCTGTATCAGGCCCTGGGCAACCTGATTTAGCTCTGGATGTCCCTATTCATTGCAGGGGAGTCAGACTAGATGACCTTTAAAGAACCCTTCCAACTCTAAAGATTCTATGATTCTATGTTGCACTTGGATAGGGGAAATCCCAGATATGAGTAAAGACTGGTAGAAAAACTCATAGAGAGCAGTGCCACAGAGAAGGACTTCAGGGTTCTGATGGGCAAACAGAGAGACGTAAGCCAGCAGTGTGCACTTTCAGCCTGGAAGGTCAACAGTATCCTGTTGTATCCATCAAGAATTCATTGGTTAACTCTATTTCTTGGGGTTAATTTTCCTCAATATTTTAGAAACCTTTTTTCCTGAAGTTTTTACTTTATACTTCTTTTTGCCTCCCATAGAGGCATTGACTGTTTGACTACAAATAGTGGAAATTCCCTGCCACACCTATTATTTTTATTCCCTTCTTCCTTTTGCTGCATGGCAAAGGTTGATAGGTAACCTTTGGAATTAAAAGTTTTCTTTTTATAATCAAGAAAACTGATCAGTCCAAAGGCCGAAGGTGTCAGAATCCTGAGCGCTGCCGACAGGTTTAAGAGCCTGCATGTGGATTTCAGTAGGGTGCAGCTGCATTTGTGGAAATCTAAAGCAGTACTATTGAAATGCAGGTCTGTATTTCTCTTTTTCACAATCAGTAGTTTATTTAGATGCTTCTGTAGGTAAGAGCTCTGAATAATTCCCCTGACTCCTGCAGTTGTTGTATTGTATTGGCAGTTGTTGTATTGACTCGATCAGCAGATATTTCAGATGTTACCCTGAAAAAATCTCTTGGCATTATACCTGGGAGCTGCTGGGCGATGTTTTGTGTGTGTTTCTATATGGTGAACTGTTGTTTGTTAGGCACAGTAAAAACCTCAAACGTACCTTCTTGACTATCTGTCTTGAAGAGATACTTTCTTTTTGAGTTAGCTCTGGACTCAAGATCAAGTTTAATAGAGGGAAATCCACACTCATCAAGTGAGATGTGGCTGTACAGTCCCTTTGGTAAGACTCAAGTGTGACTGATGGCATGAAATGGGAACGGATCTCTTAATTCTCTCCTCCATTTTGTCATCTTTCGTTGCTGTGAGGCATTACTTTCATTTCTGATGTTCTTCCTTCTCTTTGTCCCTGCTTGTAGCTGGTGCACTCCAGAGTTTTCACTATTGTCCTTTCAATGACAATGCCACAGCAAGGGTAGTCATGAGGGATGACCTGGTAGGCACTTTAATCCCAGTTGTTCATTTTCATTGCTTTTTTTGCTATATGCATTTTTTTTCTTCCCCTCTCCCCCCCCCAAAATATTGCACTGTTTCCTTTCCTGTTTCCTCCCACGCATCTCACCTCTTGTTTTTCTATTAGAGTGATAAATATGAGAGATAGATATATTAAAAATATATACAGTATATATGATACAAAAAAAGAAAAATGAAAAAAAAATCTCTCTAGTTACCTTGACAACAAAGAAAGACCTTTAAATGGTGTGTGAACATCCAAAGGAATGAAAAGACTAATTTAATAAAAGCAGTCAAAAATGTGTCAAACTTTCGCATTCTTTATGGCTTTAGGAATGGACTTACATTTCTCTTCAAAAAGTAGGATTCATACCATATATCACGAGATAACTAAATGTTAGGCTTCTAAGCTTGTTTGGCTTTCTGGTCTCCCTTTACAGTTAGTGAAGAAAAAAGAGTTACCCCTGGTTATATGCAATTCTTTTGTTATAAAAGTGACCTTATGGCATGCTGAAAAAGTGTTGGTTGTCTTAGTTATTATGACCAGGGGAATCCCTAAAAAATCCTCAGGGGAGTTTGGATGGGGCAGAAATAAGGAGAGGTTTCATTTTATTCAAACAAGCAAAGAGAAGTTGAAGAAAATGCCAATAGCAGTATGTCTTTATTTAATATGTTTTTAGATTATCCTTTGTTAGGGATATTTATGGAATTCCGTGGCTAGAGTTGGATTCTCAAAACAAGCAAAGTTGCTGGATTTGTAATTTCATTGTCTTGAAATAACATATATACTAGGTTCAAGAAATAAAGATTTAGGAGACTTTTTAGTGTCCATACCATAGCTTTATATTTCTAAATATGGCAGATTTTATGTTCTGCTTTAAATCAGTATCATCTTTGCCATTAGATCCAAAGGGCATCGCAAATCTCTCAGCTGCGTAGACCCTCACATCCTTTATTTTTCTTTTAGACATAGATTTTTTTCTGTCATACAGGTATGGAGCTGACAGCAGCCATCTTCATATTGGTGTTGGCATCTACACACCAGCCCACTGCAGGTAATTTTGCTCCGTAATGGATTAATTTCCCTGTGTGCTGAATTCTTTTATGGGACTATGAATACATAGGATGACACCCATAACTCTTTTCCTCTCCACAAGGTCCAGTTTTAGATGATTTATTTGAATTTCAGGCAACACAGTTGCATGTTCTGGGATTTGGTGTGCTCAACTGTGGGTATTAAAACTGAGCATCTGAGTGTTCAGTTGTATCTGAGTCTGTGTAGTTGATAGAAGACAGGCATAACATAACTAATTTATCCTATAGTACTCATTCAAAGGAATTAATCCCTCTGTAGGGAGTGCAGTTTCTCCACATTTTCTCTACCAAATGATTGCCTCAGTGAAATACATATATTTTAAATGGCCAAACTTTGATGAGATGAATATACTCAACTAACCTGGGTAGTTGAACCTAACTCTACCGCTAACCCCTAACTTGAGCCCCATCCTAAGCTGTAATTCTAAACCCTAAATCATAACTCTAATACTAACCCTATCTTACCTGCAACTGTGGTTGTGTAGCAGTACTTGATTCTGGTGATTTAAAGAAGAGATAGCTTTTAAAAACTTCTATTTCAAGCTCATTCATTTGTTTAATTCTCAAACTTGTCCTCTACAGTCTGGCTGATCAGAACTGTGGTATTACTTGCTAAAGTTATAGGATAAGGGCTGCAGCTTCAGTGGGTAAACTGTTAGGATTTCATAAATGCAGTACTTCTCAAAGACTCCCCTTTAAAATCACCTGTTTATCAATCTCCTCTATAGGTGTTGGCCATGATCCATTGCTTGTCGTGGATGACTATGAGGATGGTGGCATTCGACTCAAATGTTTATCTGAAAAATTGTTTTCTGAAGCTCAACTGTTGTGGACAGACAGCAGAGGAGACAACATCACAGGAACTCCTCTTTCTGCTGACACCAGCACTGCCAGTGTCAGCAGCTCCATCATTCTTAAAGCAGGATCTGGAAACTCTGCGTCCTGCAAAATTATAGATAAACAACTGAAAACATCAACAGAATCTTCAGTTGCCATTGCAGGTGAGTATGAGCTTCTAGCTTGTACTGAGCTAATGTATGCAGACCAAATTGCCCCAGGAACACATATTTATAGTGGTACAGTGTAAACAGTTTTCTTCCAGAATTTTTTTATTTGTTGGTTGGTTCAGTTTTTTGCTGCTGTTATTTTTTGTGTTTCCTTTCCTCTGAACAGCCATTAGCTTCCTTGTGTGACAAACTAAAACACAAAAATATCCTTCCATAGATGTGATGTTGCATGGGGAAAATCAAGTCCTGTTATCAGATAGTGCCTATTCTTATTTTCAGGGATGGAGAAAGCTACTGTCACACCTCTCTCTCTTTCCCTTTCATTTTCTTCCACTTCCTTTTCTATTTCATTAACACCTGATGTTGTGGTTTAGACAAACTCAGGGACATGAAAGTCCTGGTGAACTACTTCTACAGGTGTCTATGAATGCAAAACTTTGATCCAAATTCATTTTGTTTCACTTTAGACGTATAAAAAAGTTTTGTTTGTTTTTCATTATCCAAAGGAGTTCAACAGACTTCTCCAAAAGTGATTCAAAATGCAGCATCTAAAATAGTGGTAAATCAGCTGTCGTCGACTTTTTTAATTGGAATACGGCTAATCTTATTATGAATCATATTATTATTACTACTAGCAGCAGCAGCAGTGTTATTTATTAATATTTATTATTTTATTCTGTGCTTCCCAGTAAAATTAAATGTGATTACAACATATTGCTACAGACATACAACGTGTGTGCATGTGTAGTACACATACAACACTTTTAGCACAAGCAGTTATCAACTCAGCTGTATCTTTAGCCTTGTTAAAAGCTTTTATAAGAGCCTGACAATACAACTTTGAGATTTCACCAAGTAGAGCCATGATCATATCTTGTTCTGGATCGTGATACACTCAAGGTTGTTTCTAGGCTTATGCTGATGGTTTGCCTCGCTGAAAATGGCCATTAGACTATTGAAACCAGACGTCACGGATGAACAGAGAGAACCAACATCAACAGTTGGTTCTGCAAGAAAAATGATTATTGATCTCCTGAATAATTTGCAGATGCCTTCTTTCCTTCCACCTCCCCTTGGCTGGCGGCTTTAGTTGTGATCCTGCTCCTGAGCATATTCCTGGTCCTCGCTGCATTTTATAAAATCAGAAGTAAGTTCCACTTATAATGCCAAATGCGATCTGGTTGAAAACATTGCCATCTTATTCATAATTATCTGGGGAGTGTACAGGGTAATGGAAAATCACACGTGATTTTTCAGCCTTGATTCTTCACAGTATTTCTACATTTCTGCATTTCTTACATTGTATTTCCTTTTCTAAGCAACTGTTGACTACTCCAACATCTTAGAGTATAAACCTATACAATCACGTCTTAGAAGATAAATCAATGCGTTACTGTAGTGAAATAATTACTTTAACTTAATCTCATTACTGAAATAGTATAATTCTTGCAAATACCTAAAGTATGTCACCATACCCAGAGATATCCACTGGTTCCATTTGTTTGCAAGCTATTTTACTGCTTTATATAGTTCCTCAGACAGTTCAACAACACAAATCAGCTGCCAAGGAAGTACACTGGCTGATGCTTTTCTTTTAGCATCGCTTATTTTATTCATTAAATTATGAGTGATTTCTTGTAATTTTAATAGAAAGTATATATAAACCAAGATATTTTGGAAATAACTTTTCTTTACCAAACAACACACATGACCACTATAGAATATCCAAGGTTTCATGTGAAACCCTACAAGTAAACAAGGAAGAAAGTTGGATAACATTTTCTTTCTCCCTCTGCTTTTTCTCTCTCAGAGAACAATAAGGAAATCACTCGTGCACGTAAGTAATATTGATACCACTTTTCATCATTGACACTTCAATAGAGACAGCAGTATAAACATAGTTAGCCAGTGGTATAAACAATGGAGTTAATTAAGTTGTATTTCTAAAGCTGCTTAATGAAATCTTTCTGAAGACTGGGATTTAGGTTTGGCCAATCTATCTACTGTCTGTCAATGTGGAAAGACGCAGTTAATTTCTTTTTGTTGCTGATTGCCCTGCATGCATAACCTTGGCTGGCTTTCTTACTTGACCAACCATGTATCTAGAAGTTTTCCACTCCCAGAAAAATGACTTTTTGACCATTTCCCTATCTGTCATGTCCAGGCTCTTTAAAGCAGTAGAATATTTTCAATGAAGAAATGCATTTCATGTGAAAATTGGACACTTATAAGATGTTTGTAATTTTAATGCTTATTAAAAAAATAATAGAAAATTCAGTCAAAAGAAAAGAGAAAATTATACGACTTAGTTTAGACAGTTGCATCTTTCTCACCAGTAGTGATAGATATCTGATTGCAGTTCAGAGCAGGAACCAAACTTATCCTTCTGAGCTGTCATGAGGGAAATCTTTACTATCTAATGACTACAGGAACAGCAAAGATAGATTAAGGTTATTGGCCTAAAGGTAGTCATTAATTCTAAACAATCCAAATATTCATAATGCTGAGCAATTTGTTTTATTGTTGTTCTTTTTGTTTTCTGTTGTATTGGGTCTTTTTTTTTTTTTTTTAATGTTTGTTTATTTTAAGAACTTGACGGTTTGGATGAATACTTTCATCAATTTCTGAATAGTTTTAATGTTCAGACTTACAGAAGAGATGCAGAATAAATTCAGTGTCTGCTAATGATAAATCTAATGATAAGTCTAAATAAAAGAATTTTTTTCTCTGCTGTACTTGAGGAACTGAACTGCTATCCAGTAAACCAAACACAGAAATTTGCATACAAACATAAATGTTTTGGATATGTAAAATTGGGAGTTAGCCCTCAGAAAGTTTTATTGAAATTTGTATCCAGTCATTGCTGGAAAGCTTTTCATCACTTTTCAAATAATCATAGAGACTGGAAGGACCTCTGAGTTCATGACGAAAGAAAACAATTTGATGTCAAATTGGTTGTGCTTTATATCTATTGCTTTTGTTTCAAATGCTGCACGAGGCAAGCTTAACTTGGGAAAAAAAATTGTTTCAGTCAGTAACAGTACTGCAATTGTTTAAACTGAAACTGTGAAAAAAATAATTTATCTTCGAAGTCTACTCCCTAGTAAATCCAACTAATAGTTTATGTACATATGTATATAAATGTAATGCAAATACACTCATACAAATATCCATAGAAGTCGCTGCGGTTTAATCACTCCTGTGTAGTCTTTAAAACTGAATGCGAAGTGTTTGGAGAATTATTTTTTAGGATCTCAGCATATTGCTTTCTGTTCACAGAAAAAGCACGAGAGCAAATTCAACAGGGTAAGTCTGACAGTGTTTTTTCCTAGTGATTTCTCTCTATAAATATATAATTCTTCAGGAACAGCTGAAGGTTGAGCTCAGGAGATATTTGTAGCTGTACTGTTTTTGCATAATAAAATTTAAAAAGTAATCAAGTTCCCTTTTATATTATCCACGTAAAGATAAATTCCTAAGAGCATCTGGTTTGAGAATTATTTTTGGTCAGTATTTGACCTTGCAAATTGCTCTATCAGTGAATTAACATAATTTAATACATTCTTAATTTGGGATTATTGTTCATGATTAGTTCCAATTTATAAGGAAAAGAAGATTTAAGTTCCAGAGCCTGGAAAAGTAAAAGAAAATATATAGTTTTCTGAACTCTTTATGAAAAATCTGGGAGCTTTGTTATCAGCTAGGACTACGCTGTACAAATATAAAGCCAGCGTATTGTTTTGACTCTGGACAGCAAGTTTGCTGGGCAAACTATGCAAATTATGTCAGAGAGAGAAAAGAATTCGTTTTCTAAT